TGCTTTCCATGGCGGACTTCCACACGAACATGGCCCAGTTCCGGTGTACTTTTCCGGCCTGGCTGCCCGGGCAGCAGACGGCCTGAGCCCTGTACAGCACGGCTGGGTAGCTGGCTGTGTTGCACACGTGAGCCCGGCTGAAGAAAGACAAGTTTCTGCACCGCCAGGGCGACAGCTTGGCGGCAACGGAGTTGGCGGTCGGTCTCCACACTGCGGCCATTGATCGCTGCGGGTCCACCGGCACACCCAGGTAGCCGTCGAGCGAAGTGCTCCATCCTATACCTCCGAAAGTTCTTGGCGTAGTCGCCCATTCACCGAGCCACGCCCCCGCCGACTTCTGTCGGTTGATCATGGCCCCTGAGGCAGCGCAGAACCGGTCCACGTGTCGCAGGATGGTCTGCACCTGCACCTTGGACGAGCAGATAAACGAGACGTCGTCTGCGAAGGCCAGAACGCGGACGTCTTCGTCCCCAAGCCGTAAGCCTGAGATGGATGGGTCCGCATTGACTGCCCGGCAGAGTGGCTCCAACTGCAGCGCGAAGAGGATGAGCGAGAGGGGGCAGCCCTGCCGAACCGACCTCCCGATGGAGATGGGACCTCCCCTCTGGCCGTTGATGAGAAGGCGCGTGGAGATGTCTCGGTAGCAGAGCGCGATCCACTCCCGCAGCTCCTCCCCTACGCCGAATCGATCCAGCGCCGCCAGGAGGAACCTGTGGGACACCCGGTCAAAGGCCTGCCGCAGGTCCAGCTGCAGGACCGCCAGGGGCTGGTGACCCTCCGCCGTCGCCTGGCCGATCGCCCGCATTATGTGGAGGTTCCTGGATATTTTCCTCCCGCGAAGGCCGTAGGTCTGATGGGGCCCTATGATGGACTTGAGCCCTGTGTCAAGTCGCCTTGCGAGGATCTTGGCCAGGATTTTATAATCAGAGCAAAGAAGACTGATGGGCCGAAAGTCCCCGACCTCGGAAATAGGGCCCTTTTTAGATTTCTTCGGGATCAGTACCGTGAAGCTTTGCCGCATGGTCGGAGGAAGTAGCCTTCGTCTGCAGATGTCATTGAAGACTCGAGCCAAGATGGGGCACAGAGCGTCAGAAAAGATTTTGTAAAACTCTGACCCAATGCCGTCCGGGCCGGGAGCTTTGTTACGGGACAGGTGCTTGATTGCATGTTGGACCTCGGCCTCCCGGATTGGGCAGTTCAAAATGTCAACCGCCCCCTCAGGAACCGAAGGAGATCCCCGGAGAAAGGGCTCGAAGGCGACATCGTCAAGCCTCTCCTCCCGGAAGAACTCCCCGAAGGACGTCTCGAAGACGCCCGCGATGTCTTCTCTTGAGGTGAAAACACGAGCTCCTTGCCGCAGCTCGTTGATAGTGTTCTCTGTTGCCCTTTTCCGCTCGTGTGTGCGGAAGATCTTCGAGGGCTGCGTCTCTCCCTCGAGTGTCTCGACTCTGCTCCTCACCTGCGCTCCCTTGTAGCGCTCCTCCAGCATGGCCAGCAGGTGCTCTTTGCAGAGCTTGATGTCGTCACTGAAGGATCCTGGACTGCTCTCCTCCTCCTCCAGCAGTGCCTTGAGGGTGTCCGTGAGGTGAATCCGAGCTTGACGTTCCTCTGCGCCCCTGCGGCGGCCGAGCGCGCACGCGGCATCCCGGAGCTTGATCTTGAACTCCTCCCACGAGACCGCGTCCGCGCCGCCCTCCTCCAGGTTCTGGAGAGCACGCCTCGTCTCCTCAATAAAATCTTCGCTATCGAGGATGCTGGAGTTCATCTTCCAAGGCGTGTCGCGCCTTGCCCGCACACCTCCGGGGCCCCCAGCAAGAATCTCAGCCGCGACGAAACCGTGGTCTGAGAACGGAACAATCTTCGCATCGTAGGACACGACGCTCCCGGACCACTCGCCAGAGACGTAAACGCGGTGCAGCCGCGCCTGCGACGCGCCCCTCCACCACGTGAACCGCGGCGAAAACTTGTCAAGCGTCTCCGTCACGTCCCCAAGGTCGAAATCGCGCACGGCGTCGCAAAGCGCAGCCGCACCCACTTCGGCTCTTGGGACTGCCAACCCGCTCACTCTATCGCGACTGTTAGTCACGCAGTTGAAGTCTCCGCCGACCACGAGCGTGGCGGGGGTGTCAAGACGTGCGCGCAGTCCGACGAAAACGTCCTTGCGCTCCCCCGGCCGGATAGGGGCATAGACCGATATAAGGCGCACCAGATGGTCTCCAAGGAGGCAATCGGCAAGTGCAAAGTGCCCACTCGCGCACAGTCTGGGGTCCAGCATTCGGATGCCAGTATTTTTTCTGACTAGGATGGCGGTTCCCCCGGAGGGGCTAGCCGTGAGCGTGTGAACGCGCCAAAAAACGTTTCCAAGAAAACGAACAAAACTTTTTGCTTTCTCAGCGGAGCAGATCTTTGTCTCTTGTATGAAAATGACGTCCGCGCTCTCCTCAATAATTAGATCTAATAAAAAAACTTTTACGCTTCGTGGCGGTGGCACTTATACAATTAAAGGTTGCTATTTTTAAACACTTCATTTAAAATGATTGTATATAAACAGAACACAAAGAAGCAGCCAAGACCAACAGTACAAATGTAGAAGTGATAAGACGAGATGAAAGGTACAAAAACAACTGAGAAAAGAGAACGAAAAGAAAACCAACGAAGCACAACTACCGAGTAAAAATCGAAAAGACAGAGTTGAGGAAAGATAACTCTCACCCAAATTATGGAAAGTGCCGGGTTTCCTCACACATTCTTCAGCGAAGACCGATCCGTTTCGACGGGACGCGAGGCTGGGATTTCGGGAAGGTCTTTGTACTTTTTACGCGCACTCTGTCGTGTTGCCTTGCCCGCGTCCTTGAGAGGCGCACCTGCGTTGGGCTCCGGCGGGGGAGCTTTCCCCGGTGCGGCTGTCGGCGCTGGCGGATTGGCCTCCGCCTTCGCTTCTTCCCGCGAAGCCGTGGGCATCGTGGGATCGGTGATGGAAGCCGCCGCGGCAGCCTTCTCCGCCGACACCGGGCCGGGCTCCCCGGCCGAAGGGCCCGCGTCGGTGTCGTCTTCGTTCGGTGGTCCCCTGCGAATGTCAGCCGAGGGGACGGCTGCCGAAGGGTCCACGATCTCGCGTAGAGTCAGCAGCTCCGGAGTCGGATGTGCTTCGTTTACCTCGACTACTGCGGCCCCCTCCGTGTCGCCGTCGTCCAGCAGCTCCTGGTGCCGCTCGCGCAGTGGCTCGTGCCTCGTCTTGGAGGCGTACGTTGGGACACAGTCGGCCTCGACGTGTCCGTAGCCCCTGCAGCCACGACACCACGGCGCCCTGCATTGCCTTCGCATATGCCCCAGCTGGTTGCACCGGAGGCACATGGGAGGCCGGCCGGGCACGGAGATGAGCACGGGATAGTCGGCCACGTGTCCCTGGTGCGGCAGCTCAACCCTCCGGCCCCCTTTCTTCAGGATGATCCTTACGGCCCGCGTAGATGTTTCGACTTGGACGTGGGCGCGCGTGGGAGCGGACGTCTTTTTTTTTCGCTCTCCCGTTCCCCCCACGCGACCGTCTGAATGGCCAACGGAGCGGCTGCCCCCGTTGAGGGCGCGTATCAGGATACGAGCGACGCCGGAGATTCGGGCTACAAGATGCTGCTGCCGCTACTACCAAGTGGCAACAAGGAGGAACTCGTCCTCCTCCTTTCATCCGAACTGCCGTTCCTCCCTTCTCTGGGCAACTTGTCCGCAACAAGCAGGAACAGTCGCTGTTGCTACCTTTCTCCTCCTTTTTTTCTTAGAGTGTAGGGGTGGTTTCCTGAGCTCGTTGTTTGACATAGCTCGGCGCTTACTCAACGTAAGTTTGCTCTTGAATATTTACATCAGCATATACAGCAACTGTTTACGTTTGGCTGGGACGCCTGTTCAAACACTGCCTTGGAAACACAAGTATTAAAGGGATACTGCCACAAAATTCCAGCGCCTATTTCGTTGTAAATGGCAACCACGTTCTGGCCACACCACGGACACACCAATTCTTCGCTCGAAAATACACCAGACCATTATATAAAAGGAATAAACCGCATGTCGTTAGGTCACTTTGAACTCGAAAGCAGCGCCGCTCTGCGGGAATACACCAGCAAGCTGTATCCGCGCGAGCCCTGTCGAACCGAATTTCCCTTCTCTCCTGGCCTATTCAATAACTCTTACGAGGAGCGGGGAGAGCCAGCCAAAAACGGCCAGGTTGCAGCCAAGGTCCCTTTAGTTGTAACGCGTTAACAACGCCAAGTGGCGGAGCTCATAACCACGCCAGCCCCAAGGCAGCTTTGCCCGTGCTGGAACAATTGACGTCACGTCTGTGACTTTACTAAATCCACCTCCTTTGATAAATCGCGCCTTTCGATGGCTGATCTTTGAACGCTCGCTGGAATTGGTCCTTTGGAACGAAAAGTATAGATCAACTCATGTTTACAAACAAATCGGAATGCCCCTAGCGGACGCACCCGGCACCGCGCATGCGCGATAAAGTGTGGGCAAGAAACCGGCCGACCACGGCAGGCACGAGCTGCGTGCACGGCCGTACAGCGGCTCGGGAGAAGTGTGTTCCGGCATCTCGCCGCAGCGGGGGCTAGTCACGTGGTTCTCCTCTTATTCGTTGTCTGCCGGCCGCTCCACCTTCCCTACTTCGGCGGCCGCTTCTCGTGGAGATCTGTCAGGCTTTGTATGCCCGTACACAAGCGGAAATCAGTCCGCCGTTGGTCGGCCCCTTACAACGCATGAAGTGCGAATCCGACGACGCCCTCTAGATTCGGCGCCGAATCGCGAAATAAATCGGCGTGTCGGCATCCTGAATCCCGTTTTTAATAAGAAAATCCGACGCGCATAAATCAAATCTTTTTTTTTTTTTTTCATGTTTGGAGCACGCAGATTGAATTACGACCGTAGATTAACAATCCCACGAATCACCGTTATAGTGCCCATTTGAGGGAAGTGAATCGTTGGTTTCTGCTGCCATCCACACCTTCCAGAACCAGCTCTACGACGCCGCAAATGGCACGGACGTCGAACGGCCCTGTGAGACAGCCGGTTGTCGCTGGCTGAGAGGGTACCTTGGCGGCAGAGGTCGGGGCCAGGGCCCGTGCGACGACTTCTACGGACACGTGTGCGGAGGGCGAAGGAGGTCCATCTACCAGGACGGCGTGGACTGGCTCATGGCGGCCATCAAACGGCGCCTTGCTTCCTCCCACGTCGACAAGAAACCTGGACGACCGCACGCCGTTCTCTTCGACAGCTGCCTCGAAGGACGCGACCTGGTTTCGAAGCAGTCTTTCTCCAGGTCGGTCTTCTTCGCTCTTGACGTTAGTGGGAGCCAGCTCGTGACGTACTTCCGGCTCAAATTCTCGCCGGACGCCATGCCGATGAACTTTCGCCCCACGTATTTTTATGCGCGGAGACAGTGCTTTTCAGATTCCTAAAGTTCTTTCGTGTCGAGATACACTACGACAGTCAAAGTAGTCAGAGAGATCAATTAGCGTCGGCTGGTACTCGGCTTTTATACATAGCGGTATTTATTCGGAATAAAAACGAGCCGGCGTAAGAGAAGTCTATCTGTCGGCGGCCAAAAGAGCTCCGGTAGATGTAGTTGGGGCGACTTCGAACATAAAAATAGCGAAGTAAGCACGATGTTATGCTGCCCAAGTACAAAGGGTTGAAGCTGAGCAAGTTTTTCTCCTCATATATGTTCAGCTGGTTCTATCCACAGGCCGAAAGGACCATTCACATACTTGCGACTCCTTAGTGCCTTGAAATTTTTAGAACGAGAGACACACTGGCACGCTGGTGCCATCTGTGCGGTGACCCTGGAACTGCATTTCACTAGAGCGAAGGTTTTGCGGGATTTGCGAGGTCAAATGTGCGTAGTATCTTTCAGAAGTGGTTGTTTATGACGTTGACAAAAGTTTTTCGAGCCAAGAAAGAAAGGAGGATGCACGAGAGAAATCGAAAATATGTGGGACGACTGTGCTAGGGAGCGCCACCGTCGACCCGCCATCTTCGAGGTCGCGGTTTGACTGGGTTGGGTACGCGGTCGTCCGTTGCTAGTATGTGCTGATATCATATCGTTGAAGAAGCTTCGTTGAAAAGAAGAGAGAAATTGATCTCGGGGGCGGGCCGTTTTCCTTGTTGCCGCCGAGTACCGTGTGTAAAGGCTGAACCACGGCTTAACCGCATGTAAGCAATTTAGCGAGCGACAGGACGAGACGAGCAAAGCCGACGAGACGAGCAAAGCCGACGAGACATGCGAGGACGACCCGCCTCGCTGTCGCTCGGTCACTCGCCCGACGAAGCAAACCGCATGAAAACGACGGGAGCAAGCGGCCAAGGCGTTAAGCTACATTTTCTAGAAATTCAAAAACCGAGCTACGCGACGAACGACCGTGAAAAATCTCCGTCGCTGGTCCGACTCCCGTCGCTGTCGCCGTCGCTCGCTAAATCGCTTACACGCGGTTCACCCTTCATTGTCGCTCGTCGCGCAGCTTGGTTTTGGGATTTCTAGAAAACTTGGCGTTCATCGCCTTGGTCGTTTGCTCCCGTCGCTTTCATGAGGTTTGCCTCGTCGCGCGAGTGACCGAACGGCAGCGAAGCAGGTCACCGTCACTTGTCTCGCCGCTCGCCAAATCGCGTACATGCGGTTTTTAAATAGCTTGGGCTAATGAAAAATGCCCCGCATTTTTCATAAGCTGCGCACTCGGTAAGCCGCACGGTATGTTTCTGCACAGGAACGAACACCGAAGGCACGACGTACGACACAGAGGCGATGGAGCAACACGGTTACTCGGCCGTAGTGCAGAAAATCCGCTAGAGAAAAACAATAAAGTAACTAGCAAAACAATACAAAGAGTAATCACACCGTGTTACAAAAGTACTAAAGTAGAAAAATCAGTTCTTGCAAGAGATACCGCCGTGGGCACGGCGCGCGTTACGGAGCGCTGCATGGAGCCGAGGGAGCAATGCGGCCGCGGTGAACGAGTCCGATAGCGGCAACAACGAACTAAAACACACAAAATATATTCCTACGGCGCTTCAAAAGCACCAAAGTATAAGAATAACCCATAGTTTCGGTCGAAAAGACCCTTTAAAGTTGTAAAATGCTGATAAACCACGCTGAAAGGTACGGCCAGACGACACCCGACACGTATACGTGCGATAGAAAGAGACCTCGAAGATGGCGACCGTGGTGACCGATGCCAGCGAACCTAGTGAGTGACGTCAAGTGAATGTCACCTATAGATTGGAAGGTTTCAAGGCACTCGGTCTTAAGGAGTCGCAAGTGGGAACGGGCCTTAAAGGCTCGTTCACACACTTGCAACCGAGTACGACTGACTGAGACGAGACCGGTTTTTCAGCCTTTTTCGACGGCTTAGGACCCGCTGCGCAGCATCGCATCTGGCCCTACGCCGTCGCAAGAGGCTTAAAAACCGGTCTAGTCTCCCTCGGCTGCGAGTGTGTGAACGTGCCTTAAAGGCGGACCGGCAGAAATATTCTTCCGCCTGGCGGAAAGTCCTCCTCGCCCTCTTCCTTTCTTGTATTGTAGCACGGCGAGGCGAGGGGAAAGGTCCCCTTTTGCGCCGGCTTCTTCTGAGAGGATAAGCCGAGAAAATCCCCATTTGGAGCGACGGGCGATGGGTGCGGCAGCAGCGACCTCGTGACTTACGGGTATCTTCAGCTCCTATCATGTAATCTGCTTTATTTTTTGGCGCTCGCCAAGCCTAGCACCTCGGGTGTACGTTTCACGGAGCTGCAATCACCGAATTTCAGCTGTCGAAGGTCTTTGGTTTAGCCTGTGGCAAAATAAACACATACTTGAGAGCTGCGATGCATCCCCGCTCCCATTGAAGGAACGTGTCATGGATATTTTTGGTTCATCAAGGAGCTCAAAAGACATGCGCGAGAAGTGGTGACTTGAATATGTAAGAATGACTTACATCTTCACAAAACATTCCATCTTTAAAAAAACGGCTTATCACGCTCAAACCTGCCTCAAATTGGGATCGATGGAAAAGAAAACGATGCACCAGGCGCGGGAATCTTCTAGAAGTTCTCTGTTTTCTAGCAGCGAGCACAAATTATTGGAGAACTTTAGCAGACTATGTTTTCAGGCCACATATATTTAGCGGAAGCTCGCGCTGCCACTTCGATGCATTCTCTGAAGCACGCGCCTGAAGTGGCAGCGGGCCTTTGAAAACGATTTACTAAAATGCCCTGTTGTGTGCCTAACTCGCGGAACATGATGGCCAGCAAAATGTATGAAATTCATATTTACACATTCCCAACAACCACCTGAGGTGAGAGGGCATCAAGGGTGGATGTCAATTTTAGAAAGTTTTAGTGGGTCACTTTTAGCCACTTAGATAACCGTACGGTCCGTACCCCAGAACGAAATGTAAGCTAGATTCGCTCTTTACATTCTTTATCGAGTGTGGCTATGGAGCGGAAAAGACAATATTAAAACCCTTTTTGGCGAGTCCAACGTGTCGTGTTATGGTTCAACGTTGCTTGTATCGGTACCATAGCACGGGCCGCCACTTCGAAGTATTTGTGTGTCTCAAAGAAACTAAAGCAAAAGCAGACAATTTTTTTTAACGTGACACAGAATTGGATTTAGCATTGTAAAAAACTTTTAGGTACCCTACGCCACGCAGTTAGCACAAACAAACAATCGCCGGTGTTTCCCACTTTTATTTTTCTTGATAGAACTGAATGATGTTTAGGAAACTGTTAATGCGAGTATCCCACCTAAGCGGTAGAGTTTAGTGCGAGTCGATACATTGCTGGGGAAAATAGCAAAAAGCGCCGATGTCGTGTTTGTGCTAACAGTGTCGCGTAATGTACGCATACCGCTGCACAATCAATGCTAACGGAGTGAATCAGTAAATTTAGTGGCCCCCAAAGAAGTGGTGTTATTTTGTTTTATTTTTATGTTTGAAAAGTTGTTATTTTTAAACAAGAAATTCGGTAAAAAGAGTGCTTCCGTTGGGCACCAACTTACGAGGCATCAATTTGTTCTACACTAAATTCTGCATGGCCCTTGCGTAAAAATGTCAATATTGTGTTCGTGCTAGCTGTGTCACGCACAGTAAGAAGACCAGTTCATTGCTCGAACATTTAAACAAGGCCTTTCTTACGTTTTCTTACGCCAAATAGACGTTTTGCGAGTACGCTCCATTACTGGTGGTTCATAAAATAACCTACGTTGTTTATTTAGAGGAAGGAAGTGGTGGTGAGGGGGGGGGGGGGGGGGGGGGCGGATTGAATACAAAAGACGACTCAGGGAACCTCGAACTTTGTAAATATTTCGCTCAACCTATAATCCTGAGCTAATTAAATCACTTTTGCTTTGACTGTTTTAGAACTTGTTAACAGTCGCGCTAAAGGCCAAGATGAGCGAAAAGTCAAATGCCAATGTTTATTTGAGCAAGAAGCTTATATATGCGAGATAGAACTGAAAAAGCGTACGAGTGTAACCGTAGCTATCTCCGACCAAGCCTGAACCTCACTTTTTCACCATTTTATAGAAAGTCGTTTTATTGAATGAACGGACATTTCATCGAACGCCGTTTCATCGAATCGCTAAGGGCCGTTTCATCGAATTTCTCTGTTATGGCTCTGTACCGAGTTTTGGGGCATAACAGTGCTTTATAGATGTTTCACCTTGCATTTGTTAAGACTAAGGTAGTCACTTGTGAAATTGTTTTGAAGGTGGTGTCAAATTACTAAAGATAAAAGCAATTGGCATAAAAAGAAATAAAAACAATTGGGTATGCGACTTACTGAAAAGCTTTACTCATATACATATATGACTGAAACCACGACGCTGCAAATAAAGGACAGACACTTAGAACACTTTTAAAAATTGGGTTGTGTGTGTGTTTATACAGCCTAGAACTTGGTCTGCCTCACAGGGGCGACGAGTCTCCCAGCTGTAGATGAGCAATTTAGCCAGTGCGGCACAACCGCTAGCCTGGGGTCTTTAACGTGCATCACGCAGTAGTGATACACGACCGCACGCCGGTACGATGCTCATCCAGATCGAAACGGGCAGGGGTGGGGCTCGAACCCAGGATCCCTGGGTTCTGCAGCGCGAGCTTTCGCTCCACGTGCTCCGAGCTGGTGTGCGCTAGACCACTCGGCCAAGTGTCCGTGCTTTCTGTTTTTGCCTCATTTTTAATTGTTTTATGTGACATGGAGAGGGGTCATTGTTTCATGGAGGCTTCTTCTCGAAGCAGGAAATGTTCACAATGGAACTTATCTCGTCACTGCACCCAGTGATATAAAAAC